CCCCCCCCCCCCCCCCCCCCCCCCTCCGCTTTCTCCTTCCTCCCCGAAAGACTGCCCTTTATCCGCCTATGTACAAGCCGTCTAGCGTTAGTGCTTGTACCTTAGCTAGCTGATTTTTCAGTACATGGATCGTCATTATGCTGAAATCGGTGGTAAGCCTATAAATCTGGACAAGGAGGAAACGGAGCTAAGTGACGAGGAGAGTGCGCGTCGTGTCTTCCGTGCCGCTGTTCGAGAATCGTTCGTTCGCACCATTGCTGTCATAGCATCGCGTCCATTCACAGGCACTATTACGGAATATGTTTTCTTTGGATTTATGGAATATTTTTTTGTGAAATATTTTTTTTTATTACGGCACTATTACGGAATATTTTTTTTTCTTTGGAAATTGTTTGAACGAGAACGGCTCAAAGTAGAGAAATGTAGAAATTGTCACTTGTGTTAATGAAAAGTAGAAACATCGCGTTTATAAAACAGTACTTTAAAAAAATATATCTCTTTGAGCGGGGCGGGGGGGGGAGGAAGAGGGAAGTCAGTTCTGTGTTACGTTCTCATCGTTTTGCTGGTTCTGGCCATCCAGACATCTGGGAACCTTTCCAGTTTTTTTTTCTTTTTCGTTATTTGAATGAACACAATGTGCGTGTTTGTTTCAGTGGTAATGGTGCGGCAAATTGCACAGATTGTGGGCAATGAATTGAAATATGGCGATGTGCTGTCGTCGTTGCGATTGGTTGGCATTGAAGAGGGCCCGCCGGGCCTGTTCTCGTAAGCCCTACTCTGTCTGACGTTTCTTCCTGGTGAATCTTACGCATTTTTGAGATTTTCCATTTTCAGTGGTCTGATCCCGCAGCTGATTGCCGAGTACATCTCGATATGGGGTATACATCTGGTACTGTATGGCATTGAACGCTTCGCCGTACGTGCACAGCAAGATGCCGTTGTGAGTGCTTTTACAGAATTTTTTCAACTCGTCTTTTTCCTGACTTATTTTTATGCGTTTTTTGCAGCTATACAGTGCAGGAAATGCATATTGACGAGAGGTTGTCTGTGTGTGTACGTGTGTGTGTGTGTGCGTGTGTGTGTGTGTGTGCACTGCGCGTCGTACCGAATTTTCATCTCGAGACCCACAAAAGCTACGGAGCTGAAACTTGGGTAGCTTAATCTACATGCACGTACGGGCTCCAATCCCCAAAATGGGTGCTCTTACCTGCGTGGTACCCACGCACGAGCTTGCCAATGTTTTTTACGGGTAAGCTGCTAGTTCGGGAACCAAAAATGCTGGGAGGCTGAAATTTTAAAGGGACGTTCCCCATCCAAGTAGGCATTAACGAGCTCAAACCCAGCCTCCCGGGTATGCGTGGTACCGACGTACGGGCCCGATAAAATTTTTTTCGAATAAGTTGATAACTCGGGAATCTGAGAAGCTAGAAGGATGAAATCTTAAAGGGGTGTTCCCCGTCCAAGTGGGTATTAATGAGCTCAAACCCAGCTATCGGGTAAGCGTAGTACCCATGTACGGGCCCGTGAAATTTTTTTTTCGAGTAAGTTGCTAACTCAGAAGCCAGGAAAGCTTGAAAGCTGAAATTTTAAGGGGGTGTTTCCTCACTGACGGCCGTTTTTAATTTGTTCAGCTAGAAGCATTTGCCGGGGAAACCGGTGCCGGTAGCGACAAAAACTGCGGGGAACTGTGCAAAAAACGCATTTTCGCACAGGCAGCCTGTGCGCTGGCCAATTATTCTTCATTCTGTTGTCGGTGTGCTGAGTTAGCTAGTTCAATCTTGCAGTGTTTGCTTCACTAAACAGTAGTATCTGAGGGTAACTGTATTTTCCACGCAAAAATATAACTGTTTGAGTGATTTGTATTAATTACAGCGTACTCAGAACAAAGAGGAAGAAAATGTGGTGGCCTCGTCGCGTAAAGTGCTGCATTTGCTTGCACCAGTATTCGTGAACAGCTTTGCTTACCCATTCCAAGTGGTGTCCACGGTGATGGCTGTTACTGGTTCCGGGTAAGCTTTCTCTACTCTTTCCATCAAATTCAGGATACCCGGCGGATGGGACAACACGCGGCGCGGCTCCTACCGATCCGGTGGAGGCTGATTCGGCTGATTCAGTCGCAATTCGGCCTCCACTACCGGATAGCAACGCGCCAGCGGGTACTTCAAGGGTAACTTCCAATACTTTTACTAATTTTCTCGTTCTTAACCCTGAATTTTGCGCTTATAGCCCCCCCCCCCCGGTGAGGTCGGATCGAGGCGGGGTGGGGGGCCAAGCTGCTCCGGCGGCTAGCCCCCTCTGTGGACCTTTGGATGATGAGTTGGGCACCACATTTCGGCAGCGGTTTAGTACTGTCTGCCGGTGGGCTCAGCACAACTATAGCAGGGTGCCGATAAAGCAGGAAGGAGGGTGTCGCCCTGAAACACCCTCTGGACAGGCATTTTTCTCACGAACGAACGAGTTTCTTTTCAGCCTTATGGTGTCAATGCTGCCGTACAGTCCTCCGTTCGCAATTTGGCAAGATGCATACAACTATCTGCTGCCATTTGGTGGCCTGAAAAGAGGATCGCGAGTATTTTGGCGTGAACATACCGGACCTATCAGCGTCAGTCCAACTCACGAAATTTACGCCGCCAACAAACATTTTGTGTGAGGTTCTATTTTCATATTGCTTGCGTTCTTGCTGGCTAGTAGCAGATAAATGAAATACTGTGCTGAGTTTTTCGGACGCCAAGCTCAAACCCAGTTGTAGATGACTCATATGTGCAACCTCGCAAACATGTGCTATCGAATGAGTGAAATGTTCATTTTGCTGAAAATTTAGATGAGAATGAGTGGCAGAGAATGGCGAAGGCCTATTACGAAAGGATGCTGCTGATTGCCGATGCGATGGCAACAACACATTTTATTGTTAGATCATTTGGCGATAAATCTTCTTCTGTTCACTGTAAAAATTTGTAATTTTTTGGTGCTTCTTTTACGAATATTCGAAGAAAATATTCTTCTGCGGCCTGCACAGCCACACTCCGAGTTTCTAGGTCACAAGTTCATAGTGTAGTCGCTCATTTATGCAACTTTCAGCGCATTTTTTGATAACATTTTCACACTTTTTTGTATTTTGCGATCGATAAGCACCATATCTGCATTGAATTTACATTGTTTCTAAAGTAGGTACGCTAACCAGTTTTTATTATTATTATCACATTGAAATAAATGCATGAAAATGAGCTGGAACAGTGTTCAGTGTTCACGCAGTTAGATTGCCAATGATTCCATCCGCCGTCGATTCATTTTGTGGACTGCTGATTTTCGAAAGCCCCCCCCCCC